GAAATGCGTTAAGCTTTTTCTTAGCTGTTCAGGAAAAGGCGTTCTCACTGACATGCCGAATGCATTTTGTCTATAGGCTGCAGACTCTCTTTCATGGAATACATTCACTACTGCTGGCCCTGAATACTAAGGAATGCAGACACTTTTGATGGCTGTTTTAGTTTGAAGGAGGAGTACCTTTACTCATTCTGTCTTCTCTTTCCAGATCCAGCAGGTTTTCTCCGCCTCATGAAAACATCCACAGCTTAAGGTCTAAGGAAAAGCTAAAGCAATTTTATGCTTATCCTCCAGTCTTAAGCCCTTGATGATTTAAAGTGCACTAGAAATCCCTCCTGACTTAAAGAATAGGCAGGTCCTTCTCTAAAATGAAGCAAGTGTGCCAAGGCACCACAACAGATGACGTTAGCTGAAAATGGCAATTAATTTTCCAGTGCCACACATAGCTGATTAAAAAGATGCTCCCCAGTGCTCCAGACTCACATTTTACCCAAGACGCCACTCCCACTCCAACACACAGGCATACCTAATCTGGTTGGCTGTCAGATGTCACACTGTAGAAAGAAATACAATCACACAGTCTCAGGAACGGCATTCCCTCTCAGTACTTTTCGCTTCCTGTGGGTGGTTCTCTCATCTTTTACTTTCCTTGGAGGGATGAGTTCTGGTGACATTAGCAACACAACTGCTGTTGGGTGAAACCCTCGCGTGTAATCAAACACAAAGGCACTACTATTACAATGCAGTAGCCAGTGTTGACAAACCTTTTTAAAAAAATCACAAAACATTCGGTTGCATTTGTGCCTATGTTGATTTGAGATGTTGCTGGAAAGCTTTCCCACAGTAGTGGGCACTCCACTTTTTGCTACAGGCGAGAATTCCAATACCATCTGTCTTGTGGACTGACTCGACAGTGCCAGAGCTCCACTATCTTGATGGAAAGTGACATTTCCAGTGTTAAACAATTACACATTCATGGAACACGTTCCTGTTCCCATGTGGCATTTTATTGCTAATCAAGCCAACAATGCCCATCTACTGGATTCTACATCACAAGGCAGTGAGCTAACAATGGTTTCCTCCCAACCAAATCAAACACTGTTAGTGTTAGATAAGCTAGAGACTGTGTGGCTGGAGTCCCAGCCAAGCAATTGTTTGCCAGCCCGGCATGCTGTGCACAGTTCAGTAGATTTTTATAGTGTTTGACACTGTAATATTTTATTTCTCTCCGTATCAACTCTCGATGGATAGCAGTTCAGGAGGAACATTAAGGAAAAATTTGCGAGGCATCAGTCTTTCAGTACACTGGATTTGAGAAAACTGATCATATTCTTTCATGTTTGTATATGGTTATTTTTACCCCTTTTTGGTGGAGGAAACTGGGTATCTGTGAGAGTTTTGCATGTAAATGCTGCATATAATTTAGAGTCCCCAGCGACCATAAAAAGTGCTGTTCCCTTGAGTTCTGTAAAATTCAAACTGGAAGAGGAGAAGAAATATATAACATGGAGATGACACTTCAATATTCCATTTGCTGGAGAATGGCCATGATGTAGTGTGTCACTTCAAAAGTTATCTTCCTCCAGTAATTATAAATAATACATCCAAAGTCTCAGAAAACTGACAAAAGCACATTTTCACAAGCAGAGTAGGCTCTTGTAGCAAATGCCCTTCAAACAAGGCAGCCCGTACCCATCTATTAGAGCTTTTAGCAACTCAAATCAAGTGCTGGTTATGGGAAAGTAGGTCAGTGACATGAGTAATTATTACAAAACCTTTCCTAGCAACTAAGCACACTGACAACAGACCTGAACTTAAATGTCACCTTCAGAATGTTAGGTATATCTTGGTCTTTGAGGTACGTTACTGGCTTCTTTAAAAAAACAATTGAACATAACGTTTTTTAACAACATTCTATATAGTCCTCTACATTTCAGAATATCTACAGTATCTGTACCTTATATGATGGTTAGCTCAGCAACCAAAACACGTTTGGGAAGCACTTTGGATTCTATGTTAAGATACATTGCTGTTCTAGTTCTTAGTTATAGACTAACTTCTCATTAGCTTTTATGAAACTAGTTCTAACACCAACTACCAAAGTTAAAATTCCTTAGTAATCTTACCAACAAATATAAAACCACAAGCTTACAGTACATCCATCCATTTTCTAATGGCTTCACCCAATTCGCGGTCATGAGGGAGCTGGAGCCTATCTCAGCAAACAACAGGCACGAGGCAGGGGACACCCTGAATGGGACGCCTGTCCACTGCAGGACAGACACACAGACACACAGACACAAACATGCATGTACTCAAGCCAGGGCCAATTTTCCCACAAGCCAATTAACTTACCAGTATGCCCTTGGACCGTGGGATGAAACCCATGCAAACATGGGGAGAACATACAAACTCTACACAGATAGCACCCCGAGTCTAGAATTAAACCAAGGCCCCAGCACTGCAAGGCACCAATGCTAACCACTGCACCACTATGCTGCCCTTACAAAGTTACAAATTGTTACAAATTTTAAAAAAATATTATTTATTATTGACCAGCTACTCAGTCTTAGGAGTTATTTAGAATTCTGATAAAAGAATTATACAGTGTGGTCAAAATAGGCTTAGCACATTTCATTTTGATTAAATGTGAAATTCTTCTATTCTTTATGCAGTTCAGAATATACTTATTCCCTCAGACCCCTAGATTACTTGTATTGTCATCTTAAGAATTAATGAAAAAGGCCATTGCAGATTTATTATATGTACTGCAAAGCTAGATGAGGCTAAGATGTTCTTTTCCCTTTAATGTCGAGTTAAATCCCGTGTTCTGCTCAGTGTTGTTCTAATGCATCATTTAAATTACAGTTCTTCTTTAATATATCAAACACAAATCTCCATACCTCCTACAGTTTTGAAAGAGTGTGGCCTTAGTGCCTGTAGGTATGCAAGTCAGGTATTGAAGAGCCTTACTTTTTTTATTACCAGGATGCAATTTACAGAACCTACTTTATTAGATGAATATTTAAAATACAGCAGTCACTCAGTTAATTGTACTGCCTGATCATGGGCAGAAGAATTAGCTTGTTACATTCATTTTTAATGGAACACATGTCTAAAGCTCTACTTATCTCACAACCCTTTTCGGAAAAACGTCCAATTAGCAACACTGCTAACCAAACATTTTTAGAACCGAAAATATACTGTAGACATATTCAGTTTCATTTCATTCCTTGTTCACAATTAACTCATCACAGGCGATAGGACAAGAAAGAATGAGGTTACTCTATGTAGATCTGCAGAATCTGTTAGCATGTCACAAACAACTGTATAATGTGGCATATTTGTGTGTGCCTGTATTAAAGACGCATATAAATGGGAGTATTCATATGTAAATACTTCAAAAGAAACGCAGTGCACTCGCTTTCTAATTGTGAAAGCTCCGTTTAACACCAAGATCGCCATGAGCAAAGGCAGACAGTATATGACAGCCCACACGGGATGCTTAACGAGAATAACATGGTTAGGATGAGCAGGGAAGTCTTTGGGAACCTTCAGGACGGCCGAAGGCATAATGTTTTCCCAAAGGAACGTTTTTCTCTTTATAACAAGAAAACGAAGCAGCACCTTCCAAATCTGATTCCTCCACACATAGTTTCTAGTGGGCTGAACGTATTCCCTTTTTGAACCTAAAAAAACCCAGTATTTTAATAGCCTACAAAGCTCATATTTACAGTGTAAATCCCGTACAACTACAGAGCCTACTGCATTACATTGTGAGGTTTCAGTAGCCAAAGTACCTACATTCCATATTACACAGGGAGCTTTAAGGTTATATCTACTTGCTTTTAACGTTTCAGATTTTTTTAAACAAATGATAATCAGCACTGATTTTGATTTACAAAACCATAATTCTTTATTATATTTATCTCAAATTAACTGTGTTAATTTCGCCATACTGCATTGAGACGCACAAAGCTGATGTTACTTCGAATACCATCGCATTGTCCTTTGAATCCGAGATGTCTCTTAATATTTACCAGATTCCTCCGGATTGTAAACCAACACACCCAATTCTTGAACTCACATTATTACGCTCAGGGCGGTATATGGCATTATACTTACATTCTCGACAAACATGTCACTAAAAATCAAAATGCATTTTCAAGACTAACAACTGCTACGAATTCCTTCTATGAGTCACCTCCTATCTGTTCAAACAACCGTTAAAACTAAACTTGAACTGTAAAACCCTGTCTTGTTATAGATAGAGCGGAGGTCTAATCGCCCAATACTTATCATGAGATTTACACCCCCAACGATTTAAATTGAGATTGTTAAATATCACTATGCATATAAATATCACTAACGTGCTTTTCTGTAAGAATTTGAATGCCGTGGGTTATTGATCTTTCCTAAGTCCATGTACTGTAACATGCCCTGTGCTGAACCAGCACCCAGCACACACACATTTCTCTTCCAAACGTCGCCGCTTCATTCTAACATTCCTCACGCTCTGTTTCCCCGACAGCTGAAAAAAGAAAGAATTCACTCACAACTTGTCTTTAGTACATGCCTGGACTAAGCCTCAGCGAATTCTGCACTTCGGTTTACGCTGGACATTTTGCAGTCTGTCTTGAAACATACGACAAGCAAGCGAACTTTTTTTGGAAAGCGTCGGAGCAATCACCTACAAACTTGTAAAAGAAAATCTAATGGAGGCCTATTTTGTATTTGTAGCCTCTCAACTAACGACCTTTTTTTAGTATTCGCAAAACCTTGGGTCACAGAAATCGCCCGTTGCCTCAGTTGAGCCCTGCTTTCGCACACTTTTGCCCGAGCTCTGCAACGCAACTAGCCCGTGTTGAGATCGCATTAAATGCGCCCGGTGGTCCTGCCAACAAATTCAGTACTAACTCGTTTGGTCCTGGCATGGACGGCACTGCAAAAAAAAAAAACATGATTAACTGGCAAAAAAGATTGCGAACCGAATCGATACTTACTGAAGAAGACAAACAGGAGACCGGTAGCCACTTTGTTTCCAAGGAGAGAGTTACCAGCCAGCATGATCGGAGCCCGGGGATGTTACAATGTAATACAGAACTGTCAGCCTCCGAAACCAGAAGGTGCTGGCAGCGCTCCGAGCAGGATGTTTTCAGTAACCCGCCGACACAGCCGTGGAAAAGAATGCTGGCGTCCCCGGGTGCCATGTGTGGTTCGGGAGCGCCCTCCTGCGGTCAGACCGTGCAACTGCCACTCTTCCTCAATATTTCCATATTAATCTCTTGCTACAAAAACGTCGTAGCTATGTTAGGCATCGTCTTCTGCAGAACAACAAAGTTAATTAATCGCCCATTGCTTATTTTCAATTTCGGTTCTTTGGCTTTCGTGCACTGAATAGCAACACGGCTGGCACAAACAACACACCTCCAGATACCGTAATACCGTTTACAGAAGAAGGTTTTTCTTTGCATTTTTCACTGCACATACAGTAATGGACTCCAGAGGTCTGGTATGATTCTCATTTATTCATACATTTTGTCGATGGCGAAAATTATTTGCTATTAGTAAAATCGATAAAATAAAAAATTAACCTTTCTTTTAACACGTTTATCATTGATAGGTTATTTAGCCAGACGCTTAAGACGATGCGACTACCACCAGTGCAAAGGGCTTCTCTTGGCTAGACAGTTTTGATTTACTGTGACCGGTGTCAAATGATTGCATATTATATATATGTTTACAACAAGCCGCTACATGTTCTATTGTAGAAATACTACTCTGCACATTATTGTGAACGGAGGCATATTTGTGCAGGTAAGAAAACGATGTGAGCGCCCACGCAGGAAAGGAGAAACGCATACTGTACTTCCACGGGACCCGACGTTTCATGATCACGCTCCGCCTTGCACTAGCAGGGCGTCCCGTCTCCACAGCAACAACGCAGAAAACCTTGCGCACGCCGGCCTGCTCGCATAGAAAGCTACAGCATTGCCTGGAAAGGTCCAGAAAAAAGGGGGTAGCGGAAGCTTGAAGCGGTTAGCCGTGAGCGAAAGTGAATGTAGTAGTACTAGGCATGGAGAAGTTTCTCGAAAGTTCGCCGGCTGTGAGATATAAATGGTTGGAGGAGAGGTGGGTGGTGATCTGATCTAAAGCTGCAATCGGAGCTGAGAGAAGCAGAGCGGCGGTTCTCCGAGACTCGTAGTGGCAATCGCACATCGGGAGGGCGCATTGGCCGCATTTAGAAGAGGCGGTGTTGGGTGGTTGCTGACTGTGGAGCGGGGAAAAACAATCCGAAGATGTCGGTGGTCGGATTTGATGTTGGATTTCAGAACTGCTACATCGCAGTTGCCAGAGCCGGAGGAATTGAAACTGTAGCGAACGAATTCACCGACAGATGCACGCCGTAAGTTGTTGCTGTTTTTAATAATTAAAGCTCCAATTGTTACCGTTAGTGGAAATGTCAACGACTGATCAGACTCTCTAGCCAACTGGGGTGCTACTTTTTAATGACCTTCGTATTTCATCTTTTTTTTTTGCATTGTGTAGAACTGCAGTTATCAATGTATACGGTACCACCTTGCCGAGAACACAATTCCCTATGTTTTTATTACCGGAGGCTTTGAAATGGTGCACTGTACAGATCAGCATTAGACATCGTAACTGCAGACTTGGATTTGCAAGCATAGTATTGGCAAGCGCTGGAAAGTACGAATGCAGATGAAGCCTTTGATTTTTAAATGTGACACGGCTAATATCACACGCGTAACATTAGCTAGGCTGCAACATATACAGTACGTCTATTAGGGAGGAATAACATCCACCACAAAAGATAGGACAGGTGCAGCGCAGTGCTCGTCTTGACACGGAAGCACAGCCAGGAGCTGAAATGTGTACGGTGTAGAAAAATAATTACAATCCCGTTTCATAATCCTCCCGGATGAGGAGGATTTAAACCCCCCAGAAAATGTTTTCTTTTCGCCTCTGTGCCCAGCGTTTCTGTCAAATCCTGTGATGTCACCAGCAAGTGACAGTCATCTGGTAGAGAAAGACGCTATACGTGATTGTTAATATATGCACCTTCTTGCACAGACTTCATCGCTTTAACATGTTAAATATTAGGCTAGAATGAAATTTAGTCGATTTATGAGATCGCTAAATATGTTTAATTGATCAGAATTTGGGGAACTGGGTAGTGCTCGCTTTCCCGCGAACCAAATGTGGGCATAAAATAAAAGCAAAAAGGGACGCAGTGCTTTTCGCCTAACAGTGATAATAAGGAGTTTGAAGTCCCATCCATTGATGAAAATGTAGGAAGGCATTTTTCATCTACCCCGGTTTAAATCACGTGGAGGTCTGCTGAGCGGAAGGAATATTCCAGAACCGCGTGGAAGAACCGAGCTGCATCTTGAATTTACGTAACTGAATGGAAACCACAGGCAGGCTCTGTGCTGCTACTGTACCATGTTCTTTTTAAACAAAACGTCCAGGTTTGGGTCTGGGGTAATTCTTGATACAGCTGTTACAGTCGTTTTAGAATACATATCCCATGTTTTGCATTGGGTGCTTGCATTTTTTTTTAATCCGTGAAATGGAAGCCTAGATGGCTTTACCCCCAGAATTTTATGTTTTCAAAAAGCATCTGTCCTGTAATTTGTAGCATAGAAATTAGTACGCGTTCAGGTATTTAAAGTCCTTTTATTGTTCACTTCTTAAAAACGGACATTTTAAAAAATAACCAGTTACAGTATATATTTTAGGAAATCTGTTTCCCTTATCGCTCGATTACCTGCATAATAATTTGTCACATTATGAAATGCCACAGCAAAACCTGTCAAAATATTAGTGGGACTAATACTTTATTTCTGTACGCAATACAGCAACATCTTATTAATCGAATGTACAAGACCAGGCTCCCTGAATCTACTGTATATGGCTTCCTGGTAGCCTGAGACTAGACAGCCCTTCCATGTTTCCTGAATTTCCCCCTGATATTCAGGCAGACCATATCTGACCCTTTAGTGTAGGAGGTGATTTGAGTTTCTGGGCAGTCACAGCTGGTGTCTTGTGATACAGGAAGTGTAACTAATGCCTGGCAGAGGGTATCAAGATGTTTCAGGAAGGACCTCTGCTTGTATGTGCCAGTCATCATCTACCTACAGAGTTTGGTTATTTTTTATTGATTTATAAGATTTTATAGAAGACGTCAACATTGCCTGGAAAGGTCTAGGAAAGGGGGTAGCAGAAGCTCATAGTGGTTATCAGTGGTTCACTCTGACTGAACAACATATTGATGTTAAATTGAGCATCTCAGCCTTGGCCAGATTGAGCACTGGCTATGCACTCAGACTGCTGTCTATAGTCTATTATCTAAACAGCTGTTAGAGGTATGTCTACATTTTTACTCCTGTTTAGCCTTGTGGGCACAGACCCTACACTTTGTTACCTAATAGGTGGGCTTTTTTTAGGATAATACACTAGGAATAATGTGTAAAGGATCGACTAGAAAGTTTAAAAGGTATTGTTTTATTATGAATCACAATGATTTAATCTAAAGGACTAGAATCAAAGTAATTTACACATTATATTCTGGACAAGGATTTAGTTTGAAAGCCAGATCTGTTGGTAAAACTACAGAAAAAATGAAGATAGTAAGCATTGTAAAGAGAGCATGAAATTTCTGAAAACATTTGAGATTTTGCTTACATGCTCTAGGGCTTAAGTAATTTGAATCATTTTAGTTTACATTCTTTCAAATAACATTTAATATGATGTTATTATTTTGCAGAGCTGTTGTGTCATTTGGTTCCAAAAACAGAACAATTGGTAATGCAGCAAAAAATCATGTAAGTATGTTTTTTTTTTATTTCAAGAAAACTAAAAGTGTATATATTGAAGGTGTGCATTTATCGGTCTGTAATATTGTGCTTTGGCTCTTGGGTTAAAACAGCACAGTATGTTTTATTTTATTCAAATGATCTGTGTATTATTTTTATCCAGCTCATTACCAATGCAAGGAACACGGTCTTTAACTTCAAGAGGTTACATGGAAGACCATTCCAAGACCCTGTTGTCCAAAGTGAGAAGGCCAACCTGCCCTATGATTTGGTTCCCCTGCAGAATGGCAGTGTTGGGGCAAAGGTAGGATAAACTTAGAATTCATGCTCTGAAATACTTACCAATGAAACAATCCTGTAACACTTGTGAAGTACTCACGGATGTAATTCCCATGGGCTGACTGCCCCTTCATATTAATTGAACAGTCAAAGGTGGCTTAGGAAGAAAGGGACCCTTAAACAGTGTCCTAAAGGATGTTTTCAAAAGTTTGTGTTTTAAAATGTAGCTCACAATTTGCTTTTGGGAAGCAGTTACTTTTAATTTGACCCTTTTCAGAAATGATCTTGTAAATTGGACTGCCTTTAGGCCTTAAATTAAAGACCTTTAGACCTTTATTTTTTTTCCCAAGGCCTGTTTAATGGTTTCTTTCAGGTCTAATGCTGCTTTTGAATTTATGTCCTGTCAGACATACTGTATTGGATAATTACCAAAAAATGCAGAAAATCATGTTATGTTTATGTTGCATAGGTGTTTTCTGCCTCCTGTCTTTGTTTCGTGTGAAGTGCTGGAGAAGATGGATAACTGGCTATCAGATTTGTAGTGACTGAGTTTTTTTGTCTATAGGTGATGTATCTCGATGAAGAGCACCACTTCAGTGTGGGACAAATAATGGCCATGCTCTTGACTAAGATGAAGGAGACAGCTGAGAACAATCTACAGAAGAAAGTCACAGACTGTGTCATCTCTGTAAGTGGCTAGAATCTATTCCCAGCTCCAAAATTTCACAATTTTAGATAAGTAAAGTAAAGCAGAATTAGAACTCCCACAGTCTTGAAACAGTATATGTAATGGATAAATACTAATAAAGCAGTTCTTGTTAAAATGTATTTGTTTTAGTTATGTATTGTAGATATATCATATACATGTGAGAAGAGGGGCATATACTTTAATTTTGAAAACTCACTGACTTTCATCTTCATCTTCATCTTCTATTTTTGAAGGTCCCCACATTCTTCACTGATGCCGAAAGAAGATCTGTCCTGGATGCTTCCCAGATTGCTGGTTTGAATTGCCTGAGGCTGATGAATGACACTACAGCTGGTATGGAAAAGTAGTGAATTTAAGAGGTTACATAGCGTACCTGGTATTAATAGGTGACTGCCAGGAGCTGCTAGTTGGAAGAGTAGCATAAGTAGAATTATATTCATCATGTTGTATGCCAGATTTATAAGTTATTCCTTTTTGTCTCCTTAGTTGCACTGAATTATGGGATATATAAACAGGACCTTCCATCCCCAGAAGAAAAACCCAAGATTGTGGTCTTTGTTGACATGGGTCATTCAGCTTTTCAGGTTTCTGCATGTGCTTTTAACAAGGGCAAGCTTAAGGTATGCTTCATTTTGAATTGCCTGTTTGTACAGTTGCTGTTGTACGCTTTGTCATGTATTCATTTTGTCTTCAAACTCTCACTCCTAGGTGCTAGCTACTGCATTTGATCCTTACCTGGGTGGAAGGAACTTTGATCAGAGGCTGGTGGATTATTTCAGCGTGGAGTTTAAGTCCAAGTATAACCTAGATGTGAAGAGCAGGGTACGAGCCCTACTGCGCCTCCATCAGGAATGTGAGAAGCTCAAGAAACTCATGAGCAGCAATTCCACAGACATTCCCCTCAACATTGAGTGCTTCATGGATGACAAGGATGTTGCTGGAAAAATGAACAGGTATTAGTCTGGGTCTCTAGTCTTAATAAAAAGTGAGTGAATGACCGTAAAATGTTTTCTTTACTTTTAGAACATGAGCTGGTTAGTTTCTTCCTTAACCAACAGTGTATTTGACCGTCCCTGAATTAGTTATTTAAAATCACAGAAGAGATTTTTTTAAATGTTTCTCTATTTCCTTATGCTTAAAAATGGTCAGACTCCCAGTTCTTTGCTAGATAGCATACTATTAGCCGCAGAGCAATCATAATGTACATAAGACATTGTTCAAGGAAGAAATTTTAGTGTAAATGGCAGACTTTCTAGTTACAGTTTAAGCTTTTCAGTTGGTGGCAATATTGTCATTCTGAAATGGTAGGTTTCTTATTTTGATCCAAAGCCACTACCAGGCAGAGTGAATATACCAGTATCCTCAAATAGCTTCAGATAGTATAGCATATCTGGGGGCTAGGGAGTTTAGAAAAACAAAGTAGTTAGATTTTGGATAGTGATTAAATTTTTTTACCCAAACATTGATTATTCACGGCTAAATAAGGGACTAAATAAAGTTATTAGTGTTGATAGAGCTGATTGTTTTGATGTGATTTAATTTATTGATGATCAAGCCTGATGGGGAAAACACAGAACAAAACCAGTATTTCCCATTTATCAAGAGAACAACACCTTCATATTATGGTATGTTTTGAGCCAACACACTTGTCTGGACAGTGCAGACCAACACAGGCTGTCATTAGTAGGCCATGATCTGTAAGACCACAAGTCATAACACCTCACCACGCTCAATGGAGAGGTCCAAGTACAACAGTCTGGACAGCAGTGTTTATTCTCTTGCCCAGAACTCCACTTGTATTGCTTGAGGCATCCTGATTGCACAGTGCTGTATTGATCAAGTGCTGGTGTAACACAGCTCAGTGGCACTGAGCAAATTACAGAAGTGATGCAGCCTCCTTAAAACCTATACAGATACAAAGTCTTCTACCACTGGAAAACAATTTTTTTGGTGTAGCAGAGTTTGCTACTGTTTGATCTGAGCCGCGCATGACTATAATCAAATCTCAGTTGGAGCAGAGCCTAGCTCATACTACTTCCACACATGCTTAGTGAGTTGTCACATTCTTGTCTAGGTTCTGTGAGAAGAATGGGACAGAATCGCCCAAGATAGCATCTGCAATCTGGTGCAAAGTGCAGATCAACTGTTTGAATGACTGCTACTGGTGGACACACTCTCTGCTAGCCTGTAACATTCACAGTTGACACCCCCTTGATAAACCATTGTGTTGCCTCTCTTTTCATATGTGGTATATGTGTGTAATATAGAGTGTATGGCATTCCTGAAACTCTGATATTTAATAGGATGGTATTAAACTTAAGGATAGGATTTACTGTAATAGTCTGCATTAAGTACATTACATACTAAACGGTTGTGTTCTTTCACAGGGCTCAGTTTGAGGAGATGTGTGCTGATCTAATAGAGCGGGTAGTGGCTCCACTGAAAGCAGTTGTCGAACAAGCTCAGCTTCAGCTTCAAGACATTAGCTCTGTGGAGATCGTAGGGGGCGCAACTCGCATTCCAGCCGTTAAGGAAAGGATTGTGAAGTTCTTTGGAAAGGATGTCAGCACGACGCTGAATGCTGATGAAGCTGTTGCAAGGGGTTGTGCTTTACAGGTTAGTTATAGGTGCTGCTTGCATGCAAACCTCAAAGGAAAGATTGAGCAGAATTAAAACGTTCTTTTTAAGATCACGATAAAATAACAAATATTGACATGCATCTCCATGCATGGCCTGTACAACTGAACGGTCCATTATCATTATGTGCAATGTCCTTGGATTTGGAAAGATAGGCAGAGCAACTTGTAAAACTTTATCACAGTTAGCATTTCGTCAACTAGAAATAGCTACAGCCATCCATGGGGTCTAAAATTTTAAATTGGCATTGGCAGAAAATGGAAGGGCAAATGTGTATGGTTCTGCTGTAACATATAATAAAATGGTATGTTTTGTAAAGCAAAACATCCCATGTTATTATAGTGATATCATGATCTGTAACGTAGTACTTGCAAGTTATTTCACTCTAACCCCTCTGTTATTTTTCTCTCTATTTCCTCAGTGTGCCATTCTTTCACCTGCCTTTAAAGTGAGAGATTTCTCCATCACAGATGCGGTCTCCTTTCCAGTATCACTTTCCTGGAGCACAGAAGTTGATGAGCCCATGGGGTACTGTATTGCTATTTCTTATTATGTACACTTTGTTTTATTGGTGCACTAAAGAAATATACTGAGAATTATATCATATGATATTGTTTTTAAACATCCTGTATTTTTATTTCTATTCTCGTGTTATTTTAGGAACCATGAAGTGTTTTGCAAGAATCATATCTCTCCTTTCTCCAAAGTCATCACTTTCTACAGGAGAGATCCTTTTATGCTGGAAGCCTTTTATACAGACCCAAATACTCTGCCTTACCCTGAAGCCAAGATTGGTAAGAGTCTGTTTGTTTGCAATTGCTTTGCTTGTAATCGTTCAAATGAAACCCTTATTATGTGCATGTCCCATACAAAAGTTACCAGTATTGCTCACTGGTTAAATGACACTCTTTCAATGCATTTTCGCAGCACATGCAATGTGTATTTTTCTCTCGTCAGGTCAGTTTACTGTGCAGAATGTGACCCCACAGGATGATGGGGAGAAGTCCAAGGTGAAAGTGAAGGTGCGAGTGAACGCTCATGGAATTGTCAGCGTCTCTTCTGCATCCATGGTGCAGAAAGTTAAAACTGAGGATGATGATTCCACTTCAATAATGGATGACATGGAAGAGGAGGCCAATTCCCAGGAGAGTACTGTGATTGTAGATGGAGAGGTGAGTATCTATTTTATCATTATTGATCACTGTCCTCTATGGAATTTGTACCAGGTCAGACTAGAGTAATATTCAGTAATGTGTGAATGAAACTCTATTGACACATTTATTTTACCTTGTTGTGTATTGTTCTCTCTTCCTTACCTGTTTGGATTATATGCTGATTTACACGCAGCAGTCTGTTCAGTGTTTATTGCATTAAAAATTATTGGTGGTTTTATGTTCTGTAGAATGTGGCTGGGGGAAATTTGCCTGCTGTTATTAGCTCCTGACTGCAAGACATTTCTGTATTAAGCGGATAAAAGTGACTAGAGACACCCTGCACTCACACTTTGCATGAAATTACTTTGTGTGACATTTCACAGGAATTAAATTGACTTTAAGCTGACATATGCATATTTCTCATAATGCAAAAATATTTCAGGAGAAGAGGAGAATACCTCAGCAAAAAATGCATTAAAATGAAATTCAGGATTAAAGCCAAAATAGCTTCCTAACTTGGCTTGGGAGATAAAAGTCTGGCCATATAAACAAAGCTGTGGCACCTCCTGTCCCCCATAAACATAGCAGGGCACAGGGAGTGGTGATGTAATTGGTAGATGATCATTTGGCCAAAGAATTGTGGAAAGGAAAGGCTGCAGACCTATATTTTTTTTCTTTACGTTATTGGGGGGGGGGTGAGTGTTCTCTTCCTCTCAGACATTTGCTGTGAACTTCACCATTGGTGCTTCCAGTCACAATATTTTTCCAGGCATGGTCTTCAATGATGGTCTGATAGATACATGCATCTAGATGATGGAAGTGGTTTGCAAATGAAATGCTATCTGATTCGTCCTGGGGCTTTAATTACAGAACAAGGCACCAGGGAAAAGTGAGGGCGAAACACTGCCCCACATACAGATAGAAAATCACCAAGCACAGTCTCCCCCTTCACCCGATCCTACTGAAGAGGGGAAGCAAAACGATGTTACCCCACAGAAAGTAAGTGATTCTGTATACTTTGCTTGTAAAAACTCTTGCTACTTGTCTCCCGAAGGTTGTCCTTTGACAATGGGGGGGGGAACGGTGAAGGGGGGACTGGTAATAAGGCTACGTTACGTTACTGAATAATGAAATTAAAGTACAGTAGGTAGCTGCGTCAGTATACATAGGCTGCAAAGGAAAAGTAGAGGTTTATTCCATGCTGAAAAGAGAAGAAAAACACAATGTTTTGGCTGTGGAGCCTTCTTCAGGTCTTACAGTCTCATGTACTACTGTCTTACTGAATAATGTTGATTTGCCATTAAAATTCCAATTGATTCAAGTGTTTAAAATTATTTGGAGAAGTAAAAATGTATATCCCTGGTCTAGACATTTGACTGTATTCATAATACAGTACGCAGACACATGTAAATTACTGAAACTTTTATGGTGTACTTGTCCGGACTCCCAACACAGGTTAAACAACAATCAAAATCGTTTACATTAGGTGATTTTGGAAAGTATTCATTGCAAAGTTTGCAACTTACATTGAAGTTTGATTTCTTGCATACAAGGATGCCTGGTGGATGCAGAGGAGACTGATATAAATGTTTTTGTTTTAGGTGAATGGAGAACTTAAAGCACACCAACCACCTGAAGCAAAGAAACCGAAGATAAAGGTAAAAAATGTTGATCTGCCCATTCAGGCTGAGCTAGTGTGGCAGCTGGGTAAAGAGCAGCTCAACGCCTATTTGGAACAGGAGGTAGGTGGTGTCCATTGAGCAGAACTCTTAATCATCTACGAAAAGCAAATGTACTGAGATCACTATTGCTTTTTCTAAATTATTGTCATCATCTAAACATATTGGCAATACTTTCTGGCCTTCTCATCATTAATGTATTACTTTTAAATCCAGTGGTGTTCTGAGTTTCATCTGCATGCTATTATAGATGTGCAACTGTGGCATGAGTGACTGAATTAGACTCTGAGTCAGTAGACTCCTTCTCCACTAAACAAAGAACCCCTTTAAGATGAGTAAGGGAAAACAATATTCTAACATTATAGGTAATAAAAAAGGATAAGCCTTTGCAAATCTTACTTACTATCTCTTTCTGAAATTTCACTGCTTTGGTTATTTTATAATACCGTTGATGGACAAATTGAGAAAGCTGTCTTCATTATATAGCAGTTATATTAATATTCTGTTTTTTAATAACAGGGTAAGATGCAAATACAAGACAAACTGGAGAATGAAAGAAATAATGCCAAAAACGCTGTGGAGGAATATGTGTACTACTTCCGGCACAAACTTGAAGGCCCTTATGAAGTTTTTGTCAGCAAACAAGTAAGTTTTACTTTCTAGATTCAGTGCACCTCCAGCCAGTTAACTTTGATAATGGTGATAAATGGCCTTTAACACAGTATTCCATTAAGCGTTATTAAATAAGGAGGGTGTGGTCTGTTCATTTTCATGAACAATGATCATGGAGCACAAATTGACAGACGTGTGTACTCTCAGGATCGAGAGAAATTCACACAACTGCTAGACCAGACGGAAAACTGGCTGTATGACGAAGGGGAAGACCAGCCCAAGCAAGCCTACCTTGACAAGATGGAGGAGCTGAAGGTACATCATCTTCACATTTGTGAAAGTACTTCACAAAAGTAACAAGTGTTTTCTGACTTGTGGTAAAGTAAGACTTAAGTGGATTGTTTTTAAGCCCTTTTCAGTTTTTTTCATATAATAATAGAAGAGGAAGTAAGTTTTTTTTTGGTGCTCCTTTTGATTTTACCAAAAGTAGAAATAATGATAAATGAATGGCCATGTTTGTTTTGAGATTTTCCTAGTGTTGAGGAAATGTTTAATACAAATTGAAGGTTGCTGCAAACAACAGAAGTAGAAATAAATGCAAATATTCTAATCAACAGTGCATTACTGTCTAAGGGGGATTTTTACAGCTAGCACTGGGTTAAGTAAATGTGATTATGTAACTTCCTATGTTATGGCCCAAACAGCAAGAAAAAACGTATCTTTCCTCTGTAGAAACTAGGCATGCCTGTCCAGGAAAGATACCAAGAAGCTGAAGTTAGGCCCAAGCTGTTTGAAGAGATCACATCCAAAATGCAGGCTTATGTGAAGATAACAGAAGATTACAGGAATGGGGTAAGCACTTTTAAGCATGAAATTTCTGCATTAATGAGAATTAGTTCCATTTCATAAAACAATATCATTTAAATAAAATGTTATACTCATGTTGCAATTAAAGTTGTAGTTTACTGGAATAAATGGGGGGGATGTCCAGAATCACTTCATACTGTAACTCCAATGGGCATGTCCTAAAATTTCCCATTTTTCAGGATGAGAAGTACATTCACATTGATGCGCCTGACATGGAGAAGGTAACAAAATGTGTCCGAGAAACAATGGAGTGGGTGAACAATGTAAAAAATGCCCAGGACCAACTCCAACCAGATCAGGACCCCGTGGTGCGCGTTGCACAGATTAAAGCCAAACTTAAGGTGCGACCCAGGGCATGATTATTCAGTAGGACATATCAACGTCCCAATAACATGCATGTAACTAATAACAGCTTTCTCTTTTCTTATTTTTATTTTTAAATTTAACACTTTTTTTTTCTTAAATCCATAGCATACCAAAGGTAAATTACAGTTCTTGAAGAATCAGTAGGAAATGTCAGAAGGGGTTTTGAGATTTTAATGCTTGTCATTTTCTTTGGTATTTGAGAGGATATAAAGCTTTGGCCTAGCATTTTTCAGGCTGGAATGCCCCATTCAATCTGTATGATGCTGGCGGGGTGTTTGTGAGGTTGTGTAATCAGGGGGACCAAAAGTTGACTGGATGTATTCTGTTGTTCTTAGGAGCTATATATTACCTGTGAACCTGTTGTCTCAAAGCCTAAGCCCAGAGTAGAGTCTCCTGTAGAGGACAACGGACAAATAGAAGAAAATGCCAGTATCAAGAAGACAGAAGCTAAAACTATGGAGGAGCATGTCATCACTCCTGAGGAAATCTCTCAAAATGGTATAAATGGCACTACGAACATGGACCTCAATTAGATGGGGTTTTTTTTTTTAAACGTGGATGTAAAAACTCTTGCATTTTGTAATAGACCCCTATTATGAATGAACTAAGTTGTATTGGATTCAGAGTTGGTCACTGCTATAGATGTGTCCAGTGTGCTTCATACAAGCAAAATCTGAATTCTTTCTGCTATATTATAAAATGTCTTCTTGCATTGTTTAAATCTGACATCACAGTCCTCATTGGTGTTGCGTTTAATTCCACATTAGTTTTGCAAACAGTTAATTTTTGTAAAATACGTAACTTGGTTTCTGACTTCACATGTATGTAGTTATTCAATGTTGGAAGCTTTTTGTTTTGTATTTAAAACATGACAATATAGCATTGAATATACTGATTCGATAATGAAGTTTAATGTTTGGAAATATTGCTGACTTCAAGAGCTGAATGAAAATCCTGCTTATTTTTGCACATTTAAAATTCCTGTGGAATTGTTACATACTGTGCAGCATGAAGAAAGTAGTGTATCCAAACAAAATGTACTAAGATGCAGTAAAGTGGCTAATGGTGGCATGTTTAAAAGTCTTCAGTTGTTCACATAATTTTGAAATAAAGAATTGTTCAATATAACACTGATGTACTGCTTTTTTTAAAGTATTTTGTCCGTTATATATCTCATTTCCCTCATAGCATCTACTCAATTTTTAAATTATACTTAGTGAAGAAACATTTTTATATACATAAGAGGAAGTTAATTTATATTTTGAAATGCGTGTACTGTTAATTTTGT